TTGAAGCAGTCGGATAGCTCAAATCCTACGTGATGTGATTTTGCATGTGTATGTGTGAAACGAGAACCCGTACCAGTGTGAATTCGTTATACATTCTAGTGCGGTAAGCAATCATCGAGATTCTGTATATAATGTACCAACTGGCATAAATGTCTTTTTTTGTACACCGGCTAGAAATCTGGCGTTTCATTCTCGCAGCCTCTGGGGNTAGGACTGACCAGCTATCAACCAACCAGGTGGAGAAACTCGGCTGTCCACTCCGACGGCGAGTGCGGAATTCACTGGATCGATAAAACCGAATAGCAATGATGATTGTAACCTGTGGGAACCCACAACCGAAGCAGAAACGATTTGAGGAAGTCGGATCGATCATGAGTTTATATCCGGGTGGTCTTGGGAACCGTTCCTCGGTGATGGAGAACGAGCAGTTTAAGTTGCAGTGGGTGAAGCAAAACAAGAAATAAAGTCTGAGCATAAAATGGTAGATAGCACCACTGTCGAACGGCTTTACCACAACACCCATCCCATCAGAGTCGTATGTGAATGTACACTCCAAGACCTACGGCTTAGAACACCAAACTAGGTCTTCGTGATCATGGGATTCGTTCCGACCAACGATGATCCCCCCGAAAATGCGAGAAAGAGGACTGAAATACGGGAACTATATAGTTCGGTCGTTTGTGACAATTTAGTGTGCGGACCGAGATCCATCGTGATGCAACAACGTAGAATTGGATGCTGTCTCAGCAATCTTAGAGCAGTAGGGTGTGCCAGCCGATCGTAGCAAATAAGTAGATCGCTGTCCCACGTAAGACAACATTTGCTGAGTGGAAAGATTGTATTACTAATGATTAGTTTGTATGTGATGTGAGGTTTGTCACAAATTGGTTAACAGGAGGGCGATATTGGTTGAGTGATCGTTGTCACAAGTTAGAAGAAACGGTTTTAACTCACAATCATTTTTGGCAAAGTTTCATTCGAATTCGAGATGTCATTGCCTTTGGAATCGTTAGCATCTCCCGAGTTTGTAGATTCCGTATATACACGACAACGAACCATATCGCAAAATTTGATCTCCATGTAGAAACAATCACAAGGTGGCTTTGTGGTTTCCCCGGTGTCTACGACATCCTCAGGTCCCTTCGTTTGTTCGTTCGTCAGTGCTGACGAATCATCCCAGTTCCAGAGCAGACATAATTTTGCCGACCCGGAAACACGACCGCCTGTGCGCAGACTAGGAACAAACTGGCTGCTTTTCAAATTTAACTTCTGAGTACGGGGATACGAAATCGGAGATAGAGGAAGCGAATGCACGAAAACAAACAGTTGCTTAGGAAAATTATATTAACACTAATCGGTAGTAAAAACAACACCTTAGTAAGATCTGTCAATTTTTTTAAATTACACATCAGTGTGTGATGAGCAGCAGACGGGGCGAACCCCATAGTCACGAGGACCTGCTGTTCAGTCGTGGAAACGGGCAGCCTACGCCCCGGGACTTGGAATGGTGAACCACATAAGGCCCCGATAGGTTAGGCGTGGTATTGAACCGGACGACAGCAAAGCTGTCTACCACCAGAGTTGGGTGGCGGTGGCGCGGCTCACATTTCGGACCATAGGGTCCAATGCACGCCAGTGACAGGGACTAAACTACTGGTGGTCTAAGTTTTATCGCTGAGTACGTTTCCTACCCGACGCTAACCAAGTAAGCGGACTTTATTATCTCTCGACGTACGAAGGTAATACCTCGCAGAAATACCAGACGTAATTAAGTAGCTTATAACACTAGGATTCGTTCTTCGATCCACAGTAGGTATCAATCCCTAAGGAGTCCGTTGTACGTGATTGTTGAGTCACCTGCATGAGGGTCCTCGCGTTGAAGACCCCGTATTCAGAAGTTGATGAGACTTCAGAACCTTCGACTGACTTGATGGTAAACCACTTAGTGTGCTATTTGACAACAAGCTTTGGTGAGGGACGAACAAGTTCTTCGATGGAATATTACGGGTCGGAAGAAGGGACAAAGTGAGAGGGTTACGATAGCCAGTCGGTAGCCCAACTATCACTAGACACCAGGATTGAGGCAGTGGTCAGAGAGATCCTGTTCATCCTGTGCAACGGCCGATGCAGCATGGAAATCTTTACGGCTTGAGTGTGCGTTGTAGTTGGATAGACGGATACTGCTAGTCAGACTAACCAACAAGCAGAAGAAAAACTACGGTTCTAAACAAAAGCCTTCAATTCTGACAAGGATCTGACTGCAAGGCAGTAGGTAAGTCGGATTTGAGGTCCATATACTTGGATCAATTACTGCTCCATCGCTTTTACTAAGAAAGAAACCAAGTTGAATCGAAGCTCTAATCTGGAGGACCATGGTACTGAACTTGTCTGACCTCTCCCCTCTAATCTTTCAGGCATGATTTTTGGCTTAGCAAACATCATACCGTATAGCCCGTTGGGTCCGAGAGATATACAAGCCACCACATCAAGGTGCAGTCTCTTTGTGCTGGTTATTATCACAAACAATACCGATGCACTCAATTCGAGTTCAAACATTTCAAATGCACGCATTGTTTTATGATGCGAAGTTTCCTCTCGAAAAAAGAAAAAAAACTGGAAATGAGAACGACTACTCAGTTCGACGTGGAAAAAGTTATCAGACTGAAATAGGAAATCGATTCGGGTTAAACTATATCTGTGTCTCTGCACTGTCACAATTAAACGAAAGGTAATGAGGTGAACAATGTTAGGCGAGTGCCATATTTTATTTGTATTACTGTCGAAAACAATGTATGGGATCTTACCTCTAGACCGGTTGACAAGATGAGTTAAAAAACAAGAGCGAGCCAGTCCAGCAAGGATTGTCGTCTTGACAACCAGCACAACTATGGCCTAGGTAACGTAGCAGTGTTCCGACCACGAGTGAAAAATCACCGATGGATTTCTTGCTTGTAAGGATTATGTCACTGTGACTTATTTGGTACAATCTAGTCTCAGACGAGTGTAAAATATTTAATTGAATACAATTATGACGCCGAAAAGACCAGGAGCGTTAGACGCCGAATAGTTCGACCTACCGAAGATGAAAATGATGCCCAGAGGACGCGATGGAATGACTAGAACGGAATCTCGCATCTGTACCGTTGGCACTGAATAGATTAATGATTGAAGCGAAAGTGCATTAATGTCCAATCGAACACTGTTTAGATATTGAAATGTTGCCAGATGGAGGCGATGTCTCAATTCAATCAATTAGCCAGCTTTTAGCTTCATATTCGTAAATCTGAGGTGACAAAAAACACAAGGCATTTAGTGTTATTTAATGAAAGGAAACCACTTTATGAGAACCGATTAGGCGTAGAGTATAGACATAGAGCAAGTGGGCGACCTCTGCAGATTACGTTCGTTGGGACATGTTTTACGCATGTCACCTGATAGGTTGCCACGGCGAGTGATTTTTGCGGATACAGGGAGCTATTGGAAAAGGGTGGTCAA